CACTGAGCCGTATTAAGAGTAATATTGAACTGTTGGTTGCTACAAATGGAGGGAGAAAAGTTGTAGCCATTCCACATTCCATGGGAGTTCTGTATTTCCTACATTTCATGAAGTGGGTTGAGGCACCGGCTCCCATGGGTGCTGGGGGTGGCCCAGATTGGTGTTCTAAGCATATTAAAGCTGGAATTAACAACGGTGGGCCATTTCTCGGTGTTCCAAAACCTATTGCTGGGCTTTTCTCGGCTGAGGCAAAGGATATTGCAGTTGCCAGGTACCTTAACTAGTATACTTTCTTAGAAGCAACTAGTTATATCTTATAGTGGTTCGTCTCTGATCTCATTATACCTTTTCCAAGTAATAAATTAGGAGTTTGCATGGTGTCGGGAAAATTTGAAACACAAACTAACCAACATTTGCCTTTAAACAACATTTTCATACATTCTAGGTTACCTTTGTACTTTGGTTAGCTATTAAGTTTTAAACATTCTGAAAGCAACCATAATCTCATTTATTTGTTACTCTCATGTTGTTGGTCCTTTTTCTACTTCGTAACAAGTTACATTACGTAGGATGGCTGATTATCTGAAAAAGAATATAATAGAACAGAGTTCAAACTTACGCTATGTTTCATCTTACGGTGATCTATTCTAGTTCTCTTTCATGTTAGGAAGAAGTTTTCAGTTTTCCTTGTCAAAGAGCGGCCATTAATTCTACCTATATTTCTCGAGCTCGGAAACTGGCTATGTGCAAGTTGTTTATTTGTTGATAATATCATTTATAACAAAAATACATATACATGAACTTTTTTCTTACATTGGTACTAAAAATGAACCCGAAATGCAGGGCCCTTGCACCTGGTTTTCTAGATAATGATATATTTCAGTTTCAAACATTGCAACATGTGATGAAAATGAGCTGGACTTGGCATTCAACCATGTCGATGATACCGAGAGGTGGGGACACAATATGGGGTGATCTACACTGGTCACCGGAGGAAGGATATTCTTGTAGCAAAAAAAGAGAAAAGCAGAACGACACTCGGATCACAGACCAATCTGGTGCTGAAAATGCAGTTTGTAAAGCTAGAAGTCCAAATTATGGAAGGCTTATATCCTTCGGAAAAGATGTTGCTGAGGTTCATTCATCTGACATAGAGAGGATAGACTTCAGGGTAATTCATTTCTCTTGTAATGTTGGAGCCTTGTTAATTTATTGCCCGAGGCCATCTAACATAGTTAACTTACCATGTGTTGTATGACTGTTTCCTATGCAATGTTCAGGGTGCTATTAAAGGTCAGAGTGCTGCAAACACAACTTGTCGAGATGTGTAGACAGAATATCATGACATGGGATTTGCCGGTATCAAAGCCATAGCTGAGTAAAAAACTTACACTGCTGAATCAATTGTCGACCTGGTTCATTTCATAGCTCCGAAAATGATGGCTCCTGGTACTGCTCATTTCTCCTACGGAATTGCAGACAATTTGGATGACCCTCAGTATAAACACTACAAGTATTGGTCAAACCCTTTGGAAACAACGTGAGAAACCTATTCCATCGTTTCATTTTGTTTCTTGTTGATTGTTATTAAACATTTTCCCTCCATTGAGTCATCTCCTTTCGCTTTAATCCGAATCTGTGGCTATAAGTAGATAGAAGTCCAATCGACACTTATCTTTGAGATAGCTATTTGATTATTTTCTTGAATTCTATTTAATTTTCCTTTCTATTTGCAGCATATGGCTATAATATAATGCACTTTTTGGCTGGCCCTAATTTTTATTTTCCAATTGATTGATTTAGATAATGCCTATTGCAATATGTATGTATACACTCTTTTGATTCTAAAATGTTCATTTGTTATCAGTATTCACTGTCACAGTTATTCCTTAGGTTACCAAATGCTCCAGACATGGAAATCTTTTCAATGTATGGAGTTGGCCTACCAACGGAAAGAGCATATGTGTACAAGTTATCTCCGCTTGCTGAGCGTAGTATTCCATTTAAAATTGACACATCCGCTGATGATGAAGCTACCTGCCCGAGCGATGGCGTGTATTCCGTGGATGGGGACGAGACAGTACCAGTTTTAAGTGCTGGTTTCATGTGTGCTAAAGGTTGGCGTGGTAAAACTCGATTTAATCCATCTGGTATTCAAACGTATGTAAGGGAATACAATCATTCGCCTCCTGCCAACCTACTGGAGGGACGTGGCACCCTTAGCGGTGCTCATGTCGATATCATGGGAAACTTCGCATTGATTGAGGACGTTATAAGGATTGCTGCCGGTGCTTCTGGTAAAGAACTGGGAGGGGATCAAGTTTATTCAAAGATCTTTAACTGGTCCAAGAAGATCAACTTGGAACTGGTACATAGTCCACACTCATGTCTATTATTTCCTTTCCTACATCTTTTCTCTTGTTTATCAATTTGTTTCAAATGTGCAAGACAACGAGACTCCGATATATTCATCCAGGTGATTCAACATATTAATTGTGTATTTCATGAACAAATGAAGAATATAATGAATATAATCATCTTCTTAATGATTGGTAATGTTAAAACCAGGGTTATTGGTTTGTAGAAATCATGGTATAGCTGCTGTTTCTTCACATCAGCATCATCTAAACTGTAACATGATTTTTATAAATTGTGTTACTGAATATTTACTAAAGCATTGTAAGGTTTATAGATGACAGTGGTATACACTGAGACTTGATTCATTTTTTGTTTCTCTTCAATAATTTAACCCTTTAGAAGCTGAACCTCTTCATTTTTCTTAAAATATTTGTATTTGATGCATAGAATTATTAGTATGGAATATGACAGGCCACTGATTGTGGTTAGAGTTATTTACTAAAGGTTCTTATTAAAACATTAAGTGTTTAATATTATTGTAAAAATTATTCTTAAAAACAAAATATCTATTTTAAACATTATTTTGGGTACGATAAAAGATTTAATTATATGAACAAGGCCAAATATATAACTGTCAACAAAAGTGATTATTTTAATAAAATTCAAAAGGTTATAAATTTAATGTTTTAAAAACTCTTTTTAATTGAGTTTGAAAGATACTTTTGATTTGATTTGTTTATTATCTCACGACTGTTTTTTAAAAGTAACGGTGAGTGTTAATTTTTTTTTGCTTCATTTTTCTTAAAAAAAAATAACGGAAAAGGATTCATTTGTTACTTTTTAAGTAATGTGATCATTTTGTGACATTTTATAATTAGGGGACTCAACGAAAAATACCCTATACTTACGTATTTTATTTTAATTTTTTAAGATAGTTTTTTATATTGTTTTGGTTTTTCATTTCTTGAAATATTCGAACATGATACTATAAAAATATTTTTTATATTAATATTTATTTATTTCAATAATTAAATATCACATACAAAGTATTTCTATTTGTTAATATATGGTGGAGTTGTGGTTGCTCAGATTATTAATCCTTGATAGTTTGAGAGTAGTAGACATGTTGGAGTGTAGGGAGAGAGAATCTGTAATTGAGAGGTAGGCGATCTTTTGATGATAGGGATGATGGCAGGAGATCATTGGTAACCAGTGTAATTGGGTTTAAAATTAAGGATTTTAGACTTTAGAGTTTTTTTTTATAATTATAAATAAATCTGAGATTTTTTAAATAAATTATAATTATAATTTTTTAATTTTATAAGTTTGATACATATTAGATTATGGTCGTTTCGGATCAACTTAAACGTGTAACGACGAAAATGTTATAAAATTATTTTAAATAAAAAAAATCTATACACCTAGAATTAACTTAAGTACACTTTAGGTACCTATTTTTACATTAAGCCTAAGTTATAATAATAGATGTAATTTGATAGTAATATGTTTATATAATTAAATATTACACAAAATATTAACAAAGGTAAAACGATTTGTGCAATTTACCTCAAATTTACCTTCTTCCCGTAGAATTTTCTTAAAACTACGGCATCATTGGCTTGGTTCTTTTCCCCCGTATCTTTAGCGCTCGAGTCTCGCCAGTCACCACCCTCCAACTTGCTGATCTATCCGCGCCTATTATCCATCTGAAGACATTGAAACAGGTGTTTCTTGAACATTGGTAATAACCCATTTCCTTGTAGTCTAAAACATTTCTAATTGCAGTTGATATTGCTTCTGTACATTTTAGGCAACATGTTATTCAAGTTAGTTTAGTGGGAGTTTGCAAACCATCTGTTTGATGTAATGCTTAAACGAGGCCTGTTTCTCTCGGCTTCAAGTTTAAATGGTTTTAGGAGAGCCTTAGAGTTGTTTTTTTCTGTCCATACTCTTATTTTATATCCATATGAGATTGGAAGTTGTTAAAGGAATTTCAGTGTAAAACATTACTTGAGTTTCAGCTCATGGCTGTTGGATCACATTCATATATTCATTCATAAGTTTTCTGGCGAGAATCACTTGCGATGGACATTTAGAATCTTTTGTTCACAATTTTACCTTTCATATTTTCCCTTCATTTGCACCTTGGTTTGGCTAGTTGTTAAGTATCTGCTTTGATTGCTTGGTGATTTGAGTTTGGCCTTTAGATAGGCGGCATTGTTTGTGTATGTGAACAGAGTGTTAAGAGTTGAATATGTGGTGTTCTACACAGCATTTTCATTAAGCTTTTAACTCATTTTATTTATTTATTTTTCCCTTTGAGACCAATGCTTGTGACACGACAAACTTGTCTGATTATGCAACAAATTTCTTACAGTCTGATTATGTAGCAAACATTGTTCCTGCTGCTTATTTCTTGTTCTAACTTCTAAGTTCTATATCTTTGTAAAAATTCATGATCAGAGGAGGATGATTTTTTTTTCCATTTCATTTAAATCTTTCCTTTTTAGCTCTTGAAGTTATTTTTTAGAGTCACTTTTATTGATAATGTAGTGTGGATCTCGAAGAACTAAGAAAGCTTGCTATTAGCTGTTGAAGTTTTAAGTTAAAAATGTGTATGATACGGTAGGAACCACAATAGAAGAGAAAAGGAGAAAGAAAAGACAATGTTTCGTGCCAGAAATGCTTCTGCTCTATTCTCAATCCATTTCAAGACAAGATCCTTTTGCAGCACTATAAAAGACAGCAAGAACAAGAACAACAACAGTGACATTGTTGATGGCAAAATTGAATCAAATTTGAGCACTTTCACCGAGTCATATCGTCAGCTTGACAATCTCAACTTCATGACTGCTGCTAAGATCCTCTTCACTCAGCCTCCAAAGAAAAAGAAATTTGGGTATTACTTTTATTTTCTCCAACTTTGTTTCTTGAATTTTTTTAATGGGTTTGACTTTTTTTAGGAATGGTTTTGAGATTTTTTCTTTCTTTCTTTGGGTGTGTCTTGGTTTGAGTGTTTGTGCATTTCTTCAAACATGTTTCCTTCTTTAGTGATTTTGATGCTTAAATGGTTGCTTTCTGTTTTGGCATTTGCTTCAGTAGTTTAGTGGTACACACAAATATTAGGAATGCTGCTAAAGTAGAATAGTTTAAGTTCTTCATGAATCATTTCATTATACAATTGAATGCGATGAGAAGTTGATTGATATAGATGATATAGTTTTCACTTGTTACAGTTTTGTCCTCCTCAATTCGACATTTAATATAAGATATTCTTCTTTTTATCATTAAAAACTTAAATGGGTTCCATTTGGTTTGCTTCATAACTTAATGTATCTTCCGCTTGTGCAAACTTGTCTGTGATATAGCACTTCTTTAATTTTAATCTGTTGGCCCCTTTCTATATCTGACATTCTTGTCCTTGTACAATACATTGGGAAAGATATACGTGATATAGTTTGCATTTGTACCTTTTTGTTCTCCTCAATTCCACATTTAATGCAAAAAAAAAAAACACTTTTTCTGTGTTAAAAATTAAATGGGGTTTCATTGATAATAATTTAGTAGATCTTTCATTTATTGGAAAGTGGAAACTGTCCTTGTTCACGTTCATGTTTAGTTCAATACTCTGAAAAAGTTGCAGTCCTTGCATCATGACTCATGAGTTTCTCAAACTCAGCATATCTTTAATCTGAGAGGCCAAAATATTTAAAATGATTTATGTAAAGCGAAAGCATCGTCTTATCTCATCATTACTAGATAACTTCCCTGCAGTTGTTGGGGGCTTATTCTTCCATATCTTAATTTTATTTCAGGATAGATTTCCATTTGGTGCAGCTCTTCTTTGCCTGCATGCCTTCATTGGGTATCTCAACTAACAAGCTTAACATCTGCCAATTTTATATTGGAATATCTCTTGGTTTACTGCTGGTATCGAAAATAATATTTGTTCTGTAACAGCTGTGTACTTAGTTGCTCAATATGCTCGCTATGAAATGAGGAAAATGGAAGCGGTAACAAAATTTTCCTTGTTTCTCTTGTACATTTTGTTGTGTATCTTTCTATTTGTGAACTCGTTTCCTTTCACCTATGATCATTTCATTCACCTCAGGAACTAGAGGAGAAAAAGAAGCAGGAAGAATCGAAAATGAAGCAGGAAGAAGCGAAAATGAAGCAGGAAGAAGAGGAGAGAGATAAAGAGGGCGAACAAATTGCGATGGATCCAGAGCTTTCTGAGGTAAAAGTGAGACTAGGTAAACTAGAGGAGGCAGTAAGGGAAATCGCCGTTGAATCAAAGAAACAATCAGCAGTCCACATAACTAAAACTCAGCAAAAGGCTAGTGAACCGGGTGAAGATAGAAGTAAATCAGAGTCCAGAAGTTCTGTGATGCAAGATAAAGGTACTAACCAAAAATCTATCGAACAAATACCAAATGCCGATTCAGGCAAAGCAAGAAGCGTGTCACCAGTTTCTGATGCTACCCGGAAGGATCAAAAGGGGGAGAACCGGATAGGAGGACCTTCTGAGGATGCCAAAATATGATGAAGAGCAAAACCTTCATTCTCCCTTTTTGTTGGTTTTAAGAAAAACATACAGCACTACTCTGAAGTCCATTGGCCCCTAGGATGTATAGTGGGTGCTTACCTTACTTCACTGCCATTGGCGATGAAGATAGGTTATTGGTAAGGGATGTCAACGTGCATATTTTTCTCACTGTGACAGCTTTCTGATATCTAAAATGTATTTGATCACGTGCTCTTCTGCCCTTCTTTTTTCCACAGTTTTCAACCATATTGCCTGTTTTTTCCAATTTCTCTTCTGATAGCACTTTTTTTTTTCTATATGTTGTAACGAATCTCAATCATATGACGATGAACGTTCAAATACCATGGCAGTCGCTGGTGTTCGAACTCAGGACCTCTAAGGATAACAACTATCTCTTTAACCATTAAGGTCATTTAGTTCGTGTAGATTTTGTAGTTTTTGTTTTTTGATTTGGGGGATTATTTTTGGAAAAATCTCAATTTTCATGGTTTAGCATAAGCTTTTGTTTTGGTTTGGTTAGTCAGAAAATGAAGGAATTGATGAGAAATGAGAGGAAACAATAAGAAAATGGGGGAAATTATGGGGTTGAGTTGGGTAGAGTCAAATCGGAGTCAAATTTTTACTTTAAATTTAGGTCGATTCCGATTGTGTTAGCTTTTGTATTTGGAAAATTCGGGTTTAGATTGGGTTAAGGTTATTTTTTATGGTGCGATTAGGTCGGGTCAAATTTGGATTTACGATAAAAATTTTGACCTGGCCCAATGTAATATTATAATTATACTTTATATATTTAGAAATAATTATAATAATACCTTTTTATATTTTCTTTTTCAATTAGGTTATTATTTGACCTACCAAAAATAAAAATATATATTTAGATCGAGTCGGGTGTGGGTTTAAATCTATAATATCAAGTTTAATTTTGGATCAATTGAGGGTTCTCTTAAACTTGGATCAGGTTAGATATATATGGATGATTTTAATATTCGAGTCAGTTTCAAATGGACCAAAATTTGTATCTAACCTGACTTGTTACCATCCTACAATCAACCAATATTTGAATCTAAAAATAGCATCGATACTACATGACATCTCTACCTGGTAGAAACATTGAAAATTTTGTGTAAAATGAATATTTTGTTTATTTAATCTTTTGCTCCATGAATTTTAACATGTTAGCAAAACAATCCTTGTATCTTAGTTTAGACTATTACTATATGAAACGAAAGACATTACATTCTGACTATTGTTCGCTTCAACCAGATCTACTATCACGTGCTCGAGCTAGCTTCTGCGTCGGAGAGGGGATATTGCATTTTAGAACCCTTAACTGCAAACCACAGTAGCTGTTACAATTCCATGTGTTATGACCCTTGAGAAATAGGGAAGTTGAGAGAGAAGAAAAGTAGAATAGAAAGGAATAACGAAGTATAGAAAATATTGAAGAAGAAAAGATATCATTCATAAATTTTCCATGATTTGTGCATTACAATTCTTAGCCTATATAATTTGCTAATGGGACAAAGCCTATTATTTTTACACTGCTGTCCTAAATTGTCTGTTAGTGTAACAGCCTTGTCGACACTCATTTTCGCTCGGTCCTTTTATTTATTTATTTTATTTCTATTTTGTTTTATTTTTATTTTTATTTTTATTTTTATTTTTTTTTGTTTTTATTTTTATTTATGTTATTATTTTTGTAGAATTTTACAAGCCCAAATTACAGATCAGTAAGCCCAACAACAATTTAGGGCCCAATTACAAGGGACATTCGACCCAAAAAACCCTACCCAATTAGGGGGATCCTAACGTATCCTCTTCAGCTGCTGTCGTTGCCAGAGCAAGTCGTCCTTGATGAAGTCGCGCCGCCATCACCGAGCCGATTCTGACCGCTGCCGAGTTAGATGCTCCACCATTGTCATCTACAGTAAACAAAATCAAATCAAGAAAAAAAAGCAAAAAGCAAGAAAAATCTATCCTAATCCCGAAAAATTTGAGGCATTCAAGGCCCTGATTTTCCTTACCTAATCCACTCACCAACCGAGCATCATCATCCTGCCATGGCTTCACCAAACACGCAAGTACAGGAGATAAAAGAAATAGGGGAATAGGTTAGAAAGGGGTTCGAACCAAATTTTAAACAAGGGGAGATTAGAACGGATTCGATTTTATCGGAGATAGAGAAACATCACCGAAGGTAAAAAGCCTTCATCTTTTTTGGGGTTTGGGTTTCTAGTTCTCTAGAAAGGGGTTTGGTTTTGGGTTCTTAGGTTTCGAGGAGAGTTTCGAACAGTGGGTTCTTAGGGAGACAAGAGAAAAGGGAGGGGAGCGACGTTTCAGGCTCGTTTTCCCCCATCAAAGTCGCTGATCTATGGCGACTGTGGGATTTTCTTTTTCTCACGGTGAAAAGTGAGGAGGGGAGCAAAGAGAGAAAGTTGAGGGGTGAGAGTGATTTCAGTCGAGTTAAGAGAAATGAAAGCCATGGTTAAATTTTTTTATAATCGTATATATATATATATATATATCGTTGCCAAAACGATAACATTTAGGGGTTAGGGCAACCTTCCCATCAGCGCATGGGATATCTCGGGTAGGGGTACATCCATTTTTGATTTATTTCATTTTTGTCCCCAATATGGTTGTTCAAGTTTCTACATTTGACTCTTTATTTTGTATACTGTTCATTTTGGTCCTATGTATTAGCTTATTTTAAGTTATTATGTTTTCGTACATTTTGCTTCTAATTTGGACACTATTTTATTTTGGTCCCCAGATTTATATGTTTTAAGTTCTTTCCTGTTTGCACATTTGATATGTTTTGTTCGAAACTCTCATTTTAATCATATGCTTGTTTATGGATAAATCATGATTCTAGTGCCCGAAATGATGTAATTTTTAAGTTTTAAGCCAAGATATGTATGGGTTTAATGTGTTATTATAACCTAGAATTTGCTTTTCTTTTAAATTTTGTCACCAGTACATGTTGCTTTGATGTGTATTTATATATTAATTTGTAATTTGTTAATGATGAATATTTTACATTTAATATTTAATATATAATACATGTTTGGTACTTTCCTAATTCATTAACTTGGTAAATACTTCTTTGTCTTTGGTTTTATTCCATTAAATTTAACATCATAGACTATTTAATTCGTTAATATGAAAGATACCCGTTAGTTTTTTTATTTTTAGAAACGTTTGTAGATATGTATATTAGATTTATTAGATAGTCACTCGAACATAAATCTAGGTACTTTTGTTTATTTATGTGTCATCCTTTATTTTAATTTAAATTAATTTGCATAGTACCCTCATAAGCATTTATTGATTTGATCGAAATAATTTGACTAAGAGAATGTTAGTTTATTTTAAGATTAAGGAAAGTGGTTGTCTTAAAGAGTAAGAGATTGCTTTCAATAGTCTTAAAATAAAAGGCTATTTATCAAGTGAAACCCTAAAAATTTGATTACATTTAAAATTTGGGACTGAGAAAAAGATTTTATTCTTTTAATTAAATTCACCCAGAAAAGACTGTTAGATCGAATCTAAGGTCCCGTCTCGATGTATTTAAATAATTGAACATCCTTATTCTCATTAAAGGTTGAGAAAATAATTAATTAATCGTATTTTTTGATATATGTGTTTAATTTTCGTTTTATTTTGTCAGTGTCTAAAATTTATAATTAATAATGAACTTTAGGACGTAATTGTAATATTTCTTTATTTCGATTGGAGTAAGAATCGTCTGCTGTAAGGCATAAGAGGTCTATTCTTCTCTATAGGAAATAATTAAATATTATTGTGTTTCTTTATAAAATTTAAAGATTATTATTTGTATGGGATCTTAAATTAAATTAAATTCGAACTCGTAAATTTCATTGCAAAGACAACTAATTAATTGACTAGGTACCGATTTAGGACGTTGTGGGGGTGTTAATCCTTCCCCACACGTAACTGACTCCCGAACTCAAATTTTTGGTAATGCAGACTGCAAATTTGTTGTTTTAATTAAAATTTAACATTTTTATTAAAATGACAAATACATTTTTGGTGCCCAATCACACCCTAATCAAATATTTGTGGCGACTCTTCGAATCACGTTTAATTATTAAAAGGTCTCCAAATTATTTGAGACGAGATCTTTTAAAAATCAGATTTTAAAAATTAAATTTGTTTATTTAAGAAAAATTGTTTTGACAGCTTGGCCACTCCACTGGTGACTTTTTTTAGAGAGTCAGGTCGATCGTCAATTAGTTAATTGTCTTTGCAAATGCAAATTTCAAGTTCTTTGTAATTTGGGTTTTGATCCCTTGTTTAGTTTTAAATAAATTTTTGTTTGCAATGTGATTAACCACTAAATAGTTGTACTGTTTCGTTTGCTGATGTTTTCAGATTAAATAAATGTTCAAGATTTTGAAAATTATGTTTTGTGTTGTTTGTTTTGTTTTCGCTTTTCCTCACACATTGTGATCGCTTGTGAATGTATATGCTAAGGAAAGCAAAACTGAACAAGTATACACAATCGATGCAAGTAATATAGTAGTGAGTAGAGTTATCATCTCCTTAGGGGTTGGTGGGAATTATTGATGTTTTGCTATAGCTAGAGCTAGGTGTCACAAGCTAGTCCTGAAATTCTTGTCCAAACAGAAAACAATCAGTATTAAGGAAATAAATGAGTGGGGAAATACTATATAGGAAAGAAATATTATGAATAATGGTGTGCAGAAAAGTCTGGTCGAGACAAGGGAAAATTATAGAAGTAAACAAATAAAATTATTAAGGCAAATAAAAGTGTTGGGTTCAATATATTCAGAAAAACCTCACACAATCAAACTTCTTACGGAGCACTTAGATTGGTTTTGTTATGGCGAGAAGTTATTCTATGTCTAGAATGACTTAGTGTGCTATGTTTAAGTTGCCCGACATGATTACGGGAGTATTCAAGAATGGTTGCTACAACAATACTACTCGACGTGAACTACAACCCTTGGTTTGTCAAACTGTTGTTGTGGAAATACTCC